ATTTATAGTTATATTTATTCTTTGATTTAACTCTTCACATTCAACCTATTTGCCTAAGTATTATGTGATGTTAAAATCCCAAGAGTTGGTAACGCATGCTGTTGAATAGCATCTAGTCTGTCATTTAAAAATTCAGGACAGTTAGTCATATAATAAACCTTTTGAAAAAAGGGTTAGAAAAAAACGACCTTTATACTTAAGAAAATTATAAAAGAACTTTTTATTTTAACCAACTCTTCACCTTTGGGGTTTCATTAGGGTTTGTACGTACAACTGTTTGATATTAGAATATTTGTTAAATCTTAAAACTGCTTGTAATGACCTATTTCTTGAGTCTGCCATAATGTGCCAATAATAATGTATAGATTATTATTATTTTTTTTTCACTATTGTTCTAATATTATAGTTATCATACTAACTATACAGTTGTACTAACATATGACATATATTACTTACATAAAATATAAAAATAAAGAGAACCATAATATGTTTTATGATTAGCTAAAAAAAAAACACATAGAAAATAGATGCCACTAAGAAACAAATAGTGTCAAGTGTACTGGTATGATATGTTGTTTATTGAATGGTGGTTTAGTTATGTGTACCATTGTCTCTGTTCATTTTAATATTTTTTTTCTGTTAATGAGTACAGCTTCCATATATTTTCTCTCTTTAAAACCTTTGGTTTTTGTAAGATAGAAACTTTAAATGGGTTTAGATTGTCTGTGATTTGGGTCTGATTTGTTCTGAAATCATAAAAGGCCAAACGTTGGTTAAAATAAAATTTCTTTTATAATTTTATGAAGTATAAAGGTAATTTTTTCTAACCATTTTATCAAAATGTGTAATTCCTGCCAGTATACATATAAACCTTGTGTAATGAATATCCAAAACAAACGAGTTAAATGTTGTTCTATAAGCAACTACATTTTAAATTTGATTTTGTGAAAAGCATATCTAATTATACCAATATATTGGAACATAAACAACATAGCCCTACAATGTTTATAGTGTTACCTCATCAAAATGTCAATTAGAAACTGCACAGTAAAATGTCATATAATTATCCAGTTTTTCAATGTTATTCCTTTTTAGACACTTTGATTTAGATTTATATATTCTAGAATTATTGAAGAGATCAAGCCATTCGTTTTTCTTGTACTTTAAATATTTTGATTATTTAAAAATGATTAGTAACAATAGGATAAAGTTAACTTCAATTGAATAAAGTTATTTAAATATTTGTTTAACAACAAGTAAAAGTTTGGAATGGTCTATTCTTTCATTGGGGTGTGTCTGTGAGCCAGACGAAGAATTAAATTCTATAGGTATTTGAAGAACTTGTAGCATTCTGCAACAATTTAATTCTTCATATTGTTAGCCAACACTAGGCAGCTGGTATATAATTAAGTAGAGTTGTTTAAACATTTGTTTAACAACAAGTAAAAGCTTGGAATGGTCTATTATTTCATTGGGGTATGTCTGTGAGCCAGATGAAGAATTAAATTGTGGCGGAATGCTACAAGTTTTTCAAATACCTATAGAATGATAGGTTTCTTTTTTGTGAATGTAAAACACTTAAATACACCATTTGGTTATTTATTGGTGTGTGTGTATATGTCTCCTAAACGGAGACATACACACATATACACACAGTTTACAACATAGAAGCTTATAGAAATGAAGATTACATTGATATTATTATTTTTCTTATTTGTGTTTTCTTCCATTTTGTGATTCATAATAATCCTTTTCAGTTTGCTTTGATGAATGGGCCTTAAATATAACAAACTGAATATATTCAGAGTACTTATTTCTGAAATTGGTTGGTATAAATTGACTAAATCTATTGACCCACAACTTTAATGTTTTTATATCAGACTCTCAAGTACTCTTTTATAACCTAATATAACATTTTAAGCCACTTAAAAAGAAAATGCAAAATATTTTATTAACAATTTGATACATTTTATCTGAATCAATTGCATATATATATATATATAGTTTTTTAATCTGCAGCTATTGTTTATCAAGTTTTAGAATGAAATTACATAATACAATTTTAGGAAATGGTTCTAATGAACATGCTTTCAATAGATAAATTAAATGATACTCATGCACAGATTATAGATTAAAAAACACATACAATGCTTAATTATTGCACAATAAATTAGATTTATTCAAAACAGGTGCAGTTCTAAAAGGACTACATGTTTTATTGGTGCTCTACCACACCTTGACCAAAATCTTTATTTAAAATAATAAGGTTTTTCATTTGTTTTTTCAGTTTCTATTAATTGTCTTATATTAAGTTCTTACTTAAGCTCAAATTCGATGATGAGGAACCCACTTTGAGACTAATAATGGCTGGAGACGGCTTGAATGGGTAATGAAGAAAAACTTTAATACAACAGCAAATATACAACGTTTCGACAAGGTTTTGTCATCATCAGGTACAAAACCTTGTC